TCTCTCTCTCTCTCTCTCTCTCTCTCTCTCTCTCTCTCTCTCTCTCTCTCTCTCTCTCTCTCTCTCTCTCTAGAGAGAGGCAGAGAAAAGAAGGGGCGGGGAGGAGGATAAAAAAGGAGGAGGAATGTTGAAGCTCCATCCACTGCTGACAACAGAAAGCATTTTGCGCAGAAAAAGTCTGCGATGCTCAGAGCAGACGTTCAGTTTCTCAGCCTTGGAAGTTAAGTTGTTATTTCATTTCTCTCCGTTTGCCTCCACAGCTGCTCCAACCATCTTTGCCCAGCAAAAGCAGCCTCCTTCTCCTTCTTCTTCCCCGTCGTTGCAGTCTTGTGTGGCAGCATCTAAACATGGTGATCAAAGTGTACATAGCATCGTCCTCTGGATCCACCTCGGTAAGCAACAAACACAGTAGCATGGCTTGTTTACTCCCGGGTTTGTAGCCAGATTTAAACTCAGCCTTTTAGGGATTGTTTTGGATTTAGCTGAACTTTTATTGAACTCACCAAACTGGTGCTCAGGCAGCCATCCCCTCAGTTTAGAGGGAGTCTGACTCTGGCAGCACTGCTGTCTTCAGGAGGTTTTGGACGTTGGTTTTTTAGTATTGTTATTGGAGTTTTGTCTACTTTGTGGGACAGAAAACTGAACAAAGAAGGAAGGAAGTCTGAGGGAGGATGACTGACTTCTCTCTCTCTCTCTCTCAGCTGTGGTTTGTCACAGTGCTTCCTGCAGTGGCAGTTAGCAACTATGCTGGAAATAGTTAAAAGTATGCAGAAAAAAATATATAAATTATAGAGTTAAAATTCTGTTCTGTGTGAGCTGATGCCAGTGCAGGARGTTTCAAATAGGAGGAGGCGGAGCGCCTGGGATCAGACTTGTTTATGCAGCCTTGAGGAGGTTTTAGACTCCAAAGTTTTCTTCCAGAGTGCAGAGAGGAATGATAGTGATGCAGTTTTCCAGGGCCTCCTTTTAGACAAGCAGCTGCAGCCCCAGGATCAGTGCTTTAAGACCGTTGAAGGCCTGGCTTAACCTAGATGTCCATTTCACTATCAAATTGAGTCGTATTGTGCAGGTGTAATATTACTTTGCATGCATGTTTTTTGCAAACTGTAAAACTACTGCAACAGAAGAACAAGACGTTATTATCCAATAACATTAAAATCCTTAATTAGGGGTAGGGCTGCCATGATTAATCGATTAATTGACGACTAATCGATTATTAAAATAATCGATGACTAATTTAATAATCGATTAATCGTTTTC